AGTGTTTTCAAAATCCAGGGACTACCCAAGGGACCCAACAGCTTTCTTCTACCCAGAGAACTGATTTAGTATGTACAGCAGTAATTCAAACTCAGCTTTCACCTTGACTACTACATACCCCATCCAAGGATGGGTGGTTCGTTACCACATCCATTCAGCCTGTAGTTTTTCAGGTAAGATTGACAAGAACAATGATAAAAGGCGGCACTTACGGTAAATGCATTTCTTTTTGAATAGCAAGCTGACTGAAAACCAACTCACTTAAGTAATTTTCAATCATCACCGACCTGCAATTTGCACAAACCCCACCAAACCAGAACTAAAAAAGAACAAAGGTCATTATAACCTACTAACCCATCCAACCCCCACACCATCACTTTTATTTACGGCCGCACACTTCTGTCAGAGAAACAGAATTAAAGTTCTAGAGAAAAGGCAGCGTCATTAGAAAACCATTGCACAAGCTCTGACCCTGCCATTTGAATTAGAACCAAATTACTTTCAGCATGGCTGTCTGGACACACTGATTCATCCAAAATTAGAATCAGGACCTTTAACTGGTAAGACCTTTTTGTTTTTTTAACAGAGGTCTCAAAAATCTTGCAACTGAATTCAGTGGGACAATTTGTAAGTTTGACATAAAAAGCATCTTCAGTATTTTGGGGATCAAGAACCTGGTCATTCACCTGTGCTTAGATCTCCACAGAGTACCTTGTTATTATTTAAATAATAAACAGAAACCATGGTAGAAATGATGTGCAAGTAATCCAATTCTGCTTCTACAAAAAATACTGGAAAATAAATCACATACTTGTAATAATAGGTGAAAACTAGATTATTTTCTGAACTCATATAAGGCAGTAATTAGATTATTTTTCAATTTTTTCCACTTGGGATTATTTTTTAATTGGGTCAACTGGATGTGAATAGGTGATGTTAGCTGTGAATAAAGCGGCAACGTTTTTTAACAAGTTTGGATGGGGAGGAAAAATAAGAAGGTGAAATGTAAGTACACTTTGGGCAATAAACATTCATATTTTCCATTTATCTTCTTTATCTTATGTAATGATGAGGACATTTCCTTCTGTACCATTAACACCTCATATTGCCAGTGTTGACAACTCAGGAAAATCGCCTGCTTACTCACCAAACGTTCATCAGGAGAGGCAACGATAAGAGCCCTCCACCAAGTACAGAATAACACTCCCTACAACTCCCAGCTCACTTTTTTTACCCAGACTTACGTAAATGGCAGGGTCTGCGATGTGCCCTAGCTGCTGGCAAGCGGGACGTCAGCAGACCAAAGGCCATCAAGGGCAGATCTGGTCTCTCATGGGGAGTACCCTTTGCCCAGCACGGAGACCCCAGCTCACCCTTTCTATTGACCACCCCAAAACCCCCCTACAAAATGATTTGCTGCTTTTAGGGCTGCCTCTCGCTTTGCAGAACTGTTCTCTGATGCCTATGTAGGAGTTAGGGACCCAAAATAGATGAGGATCAGAGATCATTTTCAACTCTTTTACAAGGGGCTTAGAGGGATTCTTATCTCTAATTAGGAAGCTGGCTGTCACAGAAAGATATGTTCTGCTTTGACTTACACTGAAGTCAATTGTAGTTTAGGTATTACAACAGCTGAGGCAGGATTAGTCACTACACATTGAAAGAGAGAAGCAATAAAGCAGAATAAACTAGAGTAACCTATTAGCTTTCCGAAGGTGAATTAAGCAATTGAAAGAAGTGATATAAATAACCAGTCATTAGGCGAACAAAAATATCAATTTTACATTATTTAAATCTTATTTGTAATTTTAATTTTTACACTCAGCATTATGAAAACAATAACCCTACCTTTTAAAAAAATGTATAAATAAATCTCTATTCATTTTCTGCAAAACTAGAAATCAGAACTTAATGAATTCTTTTAGCCTTGTTCCACAACTAAAATCTAATCATTAAAGGCCTTTTCTCTTAGATAAAACTACAAAAATGTCCATTCAGTCTTAAAGGAAATTTATTTCTCCTTTAAATATCTTGTAGATCTTTTTTGGAAATTAAATCTGTAATTTCAATATTTACAGATGAATAATGAATCTATAGTTCATTGCTAGTATGAAATGTAATGGTTTTTACAATGTACTATGAGTGCATGATTTCTTTTCAAAATTGCATTCATTTCATATTGTGGCAAAGGAAAAACACCAGAATCTAAATATGCAAAGGGAAGGAGTGGAAAAAAGTGCAGTATGAATTTAATCTCCAAATTCTTCCATGATACTCATGTAAGCCTGGGTATGTCACTTAATGCGTGGCCATATATAATGGTGGAAAAATTTGGAATTGAATTCTGTAAGAGAATTCTTAGTGTAGAAAAGATGAGGATGTTGTCATTGCCCTGCTGCTGAACTCCAGTATTTATAAATTTTACAAGTTCTGTGCCTCAGTTTCTCCATCTGTCAGATTTTGTTTTCTTTCCTTTTTGTTTTAACAGAGAATTTCTGTGAATCCTTTAATTAATTAGTTAGTGTTTTTAAAACTACATTTTTGGATACAACATGATACAACACTACTAAATATTATTGTGGTAACAGGTAATTAGAAGGCTGGAAAGCACATGTTTGAGATCATAATACAAAATTAGAAAAAATGTAGGCTGTGCTATCTGTGAAGAGAAAGACACAAAAAGTCCCCAATGGGAAAAAAAGAGAATGATTTAAAAAAAAAAAAAAAAAAAGGCAAGTAGCTTCCTTGCTATTAAAGGACTTGTGCTTTAAAAAGGCTGGGTCTCCTCCTCCCTTATGCGTCCTAGGATGATACTTGCACTGCAGTAATCAAAACAAGGAAGCAGATGGACAGGCAAAGTGGTACTGCAGCTGCTGCAGAAGATGACTATAATAATAATGTTGACATCAGTAACAGTAATTAGTGCACAGACTGCAGAGAGGATGATTCGTTTTCCTATCTTCTGGTGTGGGCATGCTGCCCCAGCGAATGGGTATAATGTTAATACCTTTAGTTTGTTTTGTTCATTTGTTCAGTTTATTAATGACATCGAATACAATAAAGAAAATCCAACTTTTCTTCCTCTCCAGAACACTTGCTGAGGAAAGCACATTGTTTCAGTTTGGATTAATACAAGATGGAATCTTCATCAGTAAATGGCAAAATAACAATTTCTTACTTATATCTATTTTCGATGTACACAACAATTCATACTCTCTCATAGAGCCGTCTGTACATACACTCCTGAATTTCAGCAGCATCTAGTACTTGTCTGGTCTTGTCTAAAAAACAGCTCTACTGTTTGGTGTGACTTCACCCATCTGCAGGCTGGTGCCATACCTTTTTCAAGGACACTAGAACAAATGGTGTAAATGTGAGAAGGGCCAAGAAAAACACTGTGCTACACTGAACCACCTCAGGTAAGAAGAAAGCAAAGCATCAATGCTACCAGTGGTACCGTGTCATGCTGAGAGCTAGTAGCATCAGACAAGGATGTACCACTACTCCTTAGCTGCCTCACTGAGAAGGACAACTGTCCAGCTTGGTGTTATACTACACCAAAACACCTGTTGAAGAGCAAACTAATTGGAAGTGTGATAACTGTGAAGAAACAGATGGATTTTATTTGGGAAATACAATTTGTCACTTAGATGCAATCCTGCAGTATTAAATCACAGGGAAGGAAGGGTAATCAGAGAGATCATGGAACATGCTTAGCATATGACAACCCAAAAGCCTTTTATTTTATTTTCTAATGACTTTTTCCTTGCTCCGCATCTAGCTTCTATTGAGATTCATTTTCCCTGTTCATTTATTCTCCAGGATGAGAAAAGATTTGCTCTATTATCATCCTTAACAACTGGAAGGCTTCCTATCTGCTTTTCAAGTGCTGTTCTACAAAAAGGAATAGTCAAAGTGAGAAGCACAGGCTCAGGGTGGGAGTCACTCACGAACACTGAAAGCTCATTTATCTCAGTTCCATTTCCATTCAAACTCTTCGTGAGCCTTCCAGAGTTCCTCCTCCTTCTCTAGGTTTCTGTTTCTCCTTAACCATCCTGATCTACTGAAGGGCTCCACCCAGGCAGCAATAGATATTTTTTGCCAGCTCAAACTTTTTAATGAAGAAAATATGTTAAAAGTTTATACACTTTCTGAGGTGTTTTGTGTTTGGTTGGGGGTTTTTTTTACACCACAGAAAGAGAAGCTTGAAGTGCCTCATAGAAAAGTGATGTTCTGTGCAGTATCTTTTGGAGATGGGCTTAACAGACAAATAAACTTAAATGCTGTATTTAACCTTCATTATTTGCTTTCACTGTTGAGAAGATCACATTTGCATATGAAGAGTTTCCCCAACATATTTCAAAAATTAAATTCATGTAAATTAAAAATCCAGCCATATACTTGGAAAAAGGCGATGTCTGCATAAACACATCTTTTGTTTTTGTTTCTTCTCATCTACTCAGGTAGATGAGATAGCTTCAGTAATTCTGTTCCTAACACTGAAGGAGACCATTAATCAAATTATTCCAAATATTAGTAGAAAACAATGCAATTGAATGGGAAATAATAGGTATTCAAAAGAACAGCCATGATTATTTTTCAAGAAAGAAATCGCCAAGAAGTAGAGAAACAGATGGCTGAAAGTGTTAGATGAAGACACATTCTCCTGTGCAAACTAACAGACTTAATTAATTACTCAAATCACATGGTATTTTATGGAATGACATTAATGATCAGTAATAAAAACTGACAGTGGTGCCTTATCAGCTCCCTTTAAAGGAAACAAAAGGAATGCTTATAAAAGGAACATGTTTATACCCTACAGATGTAACCCACAGACCATAAATATAGTTTTCAATGTTAGTTTGACTTTCAACACTTTCCCATTAATTTAATTACAAATTTTTTATGGAACTGTAAAATTGTAAACAAAAGCATTCCCTCATCACATTTTCCTTAACAGAATTACTAAAACATATTCAGCTAAATTAAAACTTTACCTTAACTATTTCCTCTATGAAGCAGACATGTGACACAGGATCTCTTTTCTTTGTCAATACTTTCTGCAAATGCTGCACCTGTAAGAAACAATTTATTGAGAGGAAAAGTGACAACTAGTATCTCACATGCAAAATTGCATGACTAGACAAAAAGCAATTAGCTGCTGAGTACCTGTCCGCAAGCAGCACAGATCTGATCCATGAGTTTCTCCATGTTTGTCCAGAGGGCTGCTCGAAAAGCTGCTGTGTTCCCAGGTGTTGGCATAGCAGCTCTACCAGGGCCACCTAAATGGTTTTTAAATACACACAGCAGCACATTTCAGCTTTCACATGTGAAAATTAAAATATTAGAAATATAGATCTCTATGCATTCTGACATAAGAATTTTTCTTAAAAAAATCAACGTGGCCTAAAATAGCTTCAAAACAGAGCTTTGTGAATGGCCTCAGTTGTCTCAACTGAGAAGTCAACTAAAAACTGACGTTCAGTGGGGATACTTCAATGTTCGTCACTGTTACCTACTCTACCAATTCAGACTTCCACAGAAATGCCAAGGTAAATGCCAATGAGCACTGCTGCAGGATGTAATAGCAAAGCAAAATGGCAGAGACAGTAGCTGTAAAAAATGCAGGTATTACCAGCTCAGGACTTAAATGTATAGGTGAACTGCTAAAAAAAAAAAAGTGATATTCCAACTGAAGGGCATGCAGCTTCTGAACCATCGCTTTCCTTGAGAGGGGCTGTATTTTTTTATTGTGGTAGTGATTATGGTTTTGGATCCCCAAGTTTTTGCAAAATTATTTTTAAGTTTTAAATGTTCACATTGCCAAAGTTCAACTTTGCCTGCCTGCCCAATTCCTCAGCATTCTTTGGTATCTGAGCTAACACGTGGGAATGAGATGTTTAATTTTTTTATTCCTTCACATTGAATATACTGCTTTGAAACAATTTCTGTCTCACAAAAGCATCACAATGTAGTCTCAGCCTTGTTCCGTTGCTTGCAAATGATTTCTACCCGTGATCCTCCCACCAACACAAAGAAAGCAGAGTTTGGATTCATCTTTACATGACAAACTGCTGAGAAAATGCTGAAAAGTTGTAAACTAATGAAGACAATTTTCTGGGCAAGTCAGGAAAGAAAGAGGGGGTGCAGAATAAAGGAAAACTTCTGAGCCCAATAACAATAGACAGATTCAATTTTCGCTTTGTATTAGACGTTTTCTGAGACATGCCTACTCCCATCCTCTACTGGTTAAAGCAAGCGGGGAAACATGCCTGTAACTGGCTTGGATGTGACAGTTTCTTCCATTTGACAACATACTGTACTTCTGTCAAAAAAAATCAGTTCTCATCCTCTGTGAAACAAGTATCATACCTCTTGTAACAGTTTGAGATGGTTGGGTCAATACTTTGATATCCAAAGCATTTTTTATGTTCTCCTCCAGGACTGCACAGTATCCGTCTACCACATTAGCAATGGTATCCTTCAAAGTCCCAAGGTTATGGAAAACCTGAAGAGCAGTTCCCACTTGAGTAGGATTCTAGAGAAAGAAAATTTTTAAAAATAATTATTATCTTTAACTGTACTATAGGGGTTTTTTATCCGTGATGAGGCATCATTTTACTGGGCAAGTTCACCTTTAAGTTCAGTCTGCTAATTCATTTCATTTAACATTAAATAACTACCATTCTTACTGCATAACAGAGAACAGAGGTTGATTTCCTTTGATTGCTTAGCAATGCTTTGCTTAGCTTCCTTTGGCGCTATCCTCTGAATAAGAAGAACAGGAAAAAAGGAACTGGAAGCACTGCTGGCAATATCTAACCTGGGGTGAGTTACCAGTGATTGATCCAATAATTCTGAGGTTAGTTACAGTACAGCTATATTCAGCTATGGTGTAGCTAGTAATATTGTTTTAACACGCGGTAACTATTACAATACTGCCATTTAAGTGCCAAACAGTTAATTAAATGTGATTCAGGCTTAAAAAAAAATACTAACCAAGGATAAGCAGAGGCAAGCAGGTCAAGCCCCTAGTACTGCAGAATTTAAGCTTGTATTTCTACATTTCTATTTCTAATGTTGATAATAACTTCATCTTCCTCACAGCAGAATTAAGAGTGCAAAGCAACACAGTGATCATTTCCAAAGCCTGCAAAACAGTAAAAAAGCTCAAATGTCTCTGTATGGTATCTCTGAGGTTTTCCGAAATACAGGAGAGTGAACTGTTCAGGTCCGTTGTTTAACAGACCTTTGATTAAGATTAAATCTGATGATAACTCCACTGAGCAACACTAAACGCTGGCATGGGTGCTATTTAGCAAGAGAAAAGCCTCAAATTATTGCCTTTGGAAACTAAGCACTGTCATCCATACACTGAATACTGCTTTTTTATTTAGCATTCACAGGCAATTAGCGGAGGGGGCGATCAGTTGATCATACACACATTAGAGATGCAGTCTTTTGTCATTTTTCTTAGTGACTTCTGCCAGCAGTAGAGAACATGGTCTGGCAGAAATCCCGACACCCAGACTGGACAGAAGCATCTGAGACCACAGGCACGTCCCACTAGAAACCCCATTTCGACCCTCCTCTGGCAGTGAGGCCTTACACCATTGCGCTCTCCCTGCGGGCAGCTGCAGCAGTAGTAGCCACTAATATCAAGAGCCTACACCAAAACCAATGCAACTAACTCTGCTTCACCTTCCCCAGGTGACAGATTTCTTAGCCAGTCATTCCTGAGTCAAAGCAAGCGGGTGTGCTCATCTGCTCTCAGGGGTGGGGAACTTGCACTGGTACCACTGCAGTAAAGCTACGATGCGGCTGCTGTGCTGAGGGTTCACTGCTGGTACATCCACCTACTGCAACAGCTTTTCTGACCCATTGATGAACAGTGCGTTCTCCTCAAACCTAATGTTTCAGAGGTCACGGCACTGTAACTACACATCCATATCACTCTTTCTAGGGTTTCTGCACAGATCAGAACCACAGTTGAAGCAAAAACCCCAGATCCTATCTCCTTCCCCAGCTCCAGTAAGGAGTTTCCAGGTTTAGTGGAAAGCGAAGGAATATTAGGCATGTATTATGGTTTGCAGACCTTATACTAACTGTACGGGTTTCTTTTTCCAAACAGTGTGGGAGTTAATGAGCATTCCCAGCATAGTATTATGGGTCTGGGACTTGTAGATTTAGTTTTTTGACAACTGGGTATGCTGTAAAATTTCTAAGCATCCTGTGGGTGTGCTTGTGGAGGTGGGAAAGTAAGCCACAAAGACTGGAAGATTAACGGGATGTCAGAAAATGAAGAGTAGTATAATGCAAGGAGGGAATTTGGGGACAGAATGAACAAGAGAAAGAAAATATAAATGGGAAGAGGACGGGGAATAGAATGAAAAGAAACTGGAAGGAGGAAAGAGAATGAAACTGAAAGGAAGGAAAGCAAAGATAGAAAAGACTCACCTCATTTACCAGCCTTTCCTGTTGAAATTGTTCTAATTCTTATAGAATACATACACAATTATAAAACCAGGCAGCAAGTCAGTAATATAAAATCAATGCCTTACTACTATAGTAAGAGCACTCAACCAGGTTTCAGTCAGACTCTAGCAAACGTTCATATATTAACTACAACAAAGTAGAACGGCATCAAAAGGTGAGCAGGGCACTACCCAGCCTTGAATAACCGACCAATGGTCAGATACAGATGGTTTCGTGACAAACAGGCTGTATGGGCACAAATAATTTCAGGCAAAATATGAATCTCAGAGCACCCACATCACAGTTTAGCAAACTAACTCTGCAGCTACTGGTCAAGAAAGACAGAAAAATGTGCTCCAACAGGGCCCGAGCTATGTTTCAAAAGAACTGGTTTTAGCCAAAAGTTGTCAAACAATTCATTCTGAAGTTAGGAATAGTTAAATAACCAAAACACATCATTATAGAAACTTGCTAGTCACTCAAAGTATCTTCCAAATCTAGCAGCGAAGTTAAAATCAGAATAGAACGAAGATTATGCAGGTGGCGTATTTCTTATTTGCTTTAAATTGTGGACACGGCCACTGACAGACAGCTTCTAGCTCATGTATTCATCTTGTATAACAGGAATTAGAGATATATTAAAACCCTGACAATGTACAATAAAATGTCTTTTTTGTTTGTTTCACATATAGCATTTCTCTCTCCTCAAAAAACAGTTTGTGTTTTATATGTCCCAGACAGGCTATATAAAGTCCATTGTTGGTTTATCACTAATCCTAAGAGAATTGCATTTTTATGCACAGCTAGTTTCTAGGCTTAGACAATATGTTAAAAAAAATGGAGCATCTCTTGGGACAAAAATTATTATGTGGAAAGAAAATGTTGGGAAGCAGGAAGAAAACAAATGATTGTACTTTCAGGCTTGTATACACATCTCAAAATTTGACTGTTTATCATTAATACACACTGGACAAAAATCTGAAAATCAGTATTGCAGAATTTGCCACTACCAACAGACTTCACTTATAAGAATTTGCCTGTAATATTTTCCTTCTATTTGAGAAAGCTTAAAGCTAAACGTTTCTGAGATTCAAAAGATTGCCACAATTTTTATGAAATGGAAAGCAGGCATTCAAAGCAAAAAAAACCCCTGACTACAGAAGTGATTTACAATGGAAAATGGAATCACATCAGATAATAATGTTCAGAACATCTATCGAACAGGAACAATAGGGAAAATAATATAACTATTTTTGAGATGGAATTTAATGAGCTTATTAGCAGTATTTTATAATCAAGTTGCCTGCCACTGCAGGCAACTACACTTAGTAATTTGTAAGTGTTCTTAGAATCTCTGTCCATAAGATCCTATGTTCCTTTTAAAGTGTCTTATTTTGTAAATGAAGGCTCAGAAGTAGTAGTTTTTACCAAACACAAAGCAGGCTGGTTTTACTATGTAAAATGCACGGGCAGTTAGAGGAACAGCAAGACACAATTCTGCTTCTCGTAAGGTAGTGTCTTACAAGAAAACACCCTTTTACACAATAAATTAGCATCCTAAAATATTTGTACATATGCCATAAACTTTAAGTTACGGCAATCAAGAGAGTAGAGGCTAAAGAAAATTAGTACGGCATTTCATAATATGTTAGTACAGTATAATCTAATGTGCACAAACACAACCATACACAAGTGAAATAAAACCATGACCCCACAAACTGTAGGCCTGCAACACTACCTACTCAAAGATTAACCACAGTGATCTTCAGATTGCAAAAATTATAATGAAGCAGGGAGCTAAGGAGAGATGGAGTTAAGTCCACCAACAATACTCTTCTCCATTCAAAGCACTCCTCCATCTGGCACGTCACAACATAATATGTTGCAGATATATAGAATTTAAATTCCACAAATTTAAGAGCTTCAGAAGACTCAGTGAGTCATCAGTTCAACATATGAAAAAAAAAGAACAAAAAGAAAAAAAATCAACTTGCTCAAAAGTAAGTTCTACCATGAAAGCAACTCTCTCAAATTTTTGAAAACACCGAAGTTTCTCAGCATCCATCAGCCAATACATTAAATAGCTTGGTCAGAAGGGTGATATTAGCCACCACTTGAACAAAGGCATGGATATTTCAATTTATGTTTTAGCAAAACATAAAGATACTCATTCAGCAGCAAGTATAAAGAGATGTTCGTACCAAACACGTTTGCTCATTTTCTTTATCACTAAGAACTGTTCATTTTGCTAACATCATTTTTGATTCAGTTTATCCCATCCCATGTGATTCTGTAGACCATCATAGATATGAAGAAAAATAAGTGACATGCAGTCATTAAGTATGAACGCTTTTTTCACAGTTATATCACGTGGTTGTTTTCAAGAGTAGGCAACTACACTCAATAACACAAAAGATGCTGTCCAGTCCAGCATGACATTTACAGTTATTCTGCAGAGCAGAACCCCATTTGGTCACTTCATTTCCCACAAAGACAATAACCCTGTGAAGACTAGATAGAAATGTCATTAGAGACTTAAATAAATATCACATTGCTAATTTGAAAATATCTCCCAGGGTGGAACCAAGTAATTTTTTTCTGTCAACTGCCAACACTGCAACTATTTTATAATGTCCAACATTGTAGTCTTTTATTTTATGATTGCCACTAGTGTTATCAGAACAATCTTCTGAAAGCATTGCTAAATAAAGAGCAATATTCTTTTTCATCATTAGAAATGCAGCTTGGACGAGCAAGCCTGCTCCTCACAAGGGAGTGTGGTGATGACACTGAGCTAATTTGGGGATGGGAAAATTCCTAGCATAAGGCTGAACCAAAAATAAGAAAACTGGATGACAGGCAAAACTAATTGGCTCAAGTGCTACAAACACAGCTTCCAAACTCACACTCTACCTTCTCAGGGTATTCACCATGTGGACCTTTCTTCTTTAACTAGTGCTGTCTTGGGGAACTCCACATCATTATTCCTTTATTGAGTGCAAATCTGCCCATACCACCCCATGCTGCAGGGTTTTCACCTGTGTGGACTACCAACTTCCTTCT